TAATCAATCCGATACATGTTTTAAAAATCGGATTTTTAAAACCATAGTGATTGGAATGTAAGAATATGTTCATGCAAATCATCCTAGAATTATGTTAAATAAACTTTCAACACAAACTAAAAGATGCACTTGTGTTCATAATAAAACTGAAGAGAATATTTACCGGGTCCATAAGAAGTTTGGAGCAAAAAAAGCAGACACATCGTAGGATTTTGATGGTCTTGGTTAGAAAAGCAACATGAAATACAGGCTTGGCAAGTTCAATGTGGCCAAAATGACCAGGACATTCTGTCATATTTCCTGCACATGTTTGACATCGAGATGTTCTGTCAATAACACCTTGTCTGGGATCCATAAGCCCACCAAGTTTGGCACGGCCACCTTCCATTGTCTCTGGGTATTTGATGCCACCATTATCGGTCACTGACATACGCCGCTGTAAAAAAATGGATGTAATTACCAATTCACCAAGTCCAATGTGAGAATCACAAAACTTTATTAGTTGTCTTGACTTCCTTTATCATCACTTTTGGTCAAATAATTGAAAACCTACCATATAGGCTAGGCCTTTTTAAGTTAAGATGTGTAGTAGACAAGAGTGGGGCATTCTTTACTTTAAGCATTTACATCACAATATTCATAAAGACAGATGTTATCCTCAGAGAAAAAAATTAGAGTAAAAATAGTCATCACATGAATAAGATTAAATTCATCATCATTGGATAACTTAGCCTTTTGAAAACCAGTACCCCAAAATTATATTGACAATGGCAGAAAACAGCATAAAGTTGTGCTTTTTTTTTTTTTTTTACATCTGCTCATTTTATGAGAAGATATGTTTCAAAATTTAGCAGTGTTTTAAATTTTTTTTTTTTTTTTACATATGCTCATATTATGAGAAGATATGTTTTAAAATTTAGAAGTGTATTAAATTTTTTTTTTTAAATACAACTAAAAAAATGAGAACATGGTATGGGTAATGATTGTATCATGTCTGATGTTGCCCTTGATAGTTTTACATTTTTTTTTAATGCTTCATGGCCAAACATTATACCCCAATGTTTATTTTAGAGATTTGTTTCCGCTGTTATTTAACAAGAAAAGAAACTAAAATAATTTGTAAAATAGCCTTTAGCTTCATTTGGTTTGGCCAATTTATATTGAAATTATTTTTAGGGATGTGGCGCGACCTCACAAATCAAGGGGTATGGGAGAGATAAAAAATGTTGGGACCTGCTGTCAAGCTTAGATCATTCATCTGGGCCACCCAGTACTTCAGCTTGTACTTTACTATTTTACTAACTTTTGTCATGTTATTAATTGAAGCATACCATAAATGTTGATTCATTATCCTAAACCCCCTTCCTTCTTTTTGTTAAGGCTAATAACATACTACTAAGCCAGTGAGCATAGGTTTATGGTATAAAATGATTGAAACATGCTGTATCATACAGTGTATGGCTAGTGAAGTGATACAAAGCACATTCACATAGGTACTGTGATTTCCGTTTCCCAAGGTCAACTTCCGCCTAAAGTATAGCTCCGAATTCAAAAGATTTCGATTTGTATCTTTTTGTTTACTTGAAGTTTTTGTTCTCTCAATTTTCTATTTTTGTTTTGAAATCGGGGGAGGGATTATTTTGTATGAAAAAACTGAAATGATAGAAATGAATAGAACATTTGTACTTTGATTTTCAGCCATTAAAAAAATTTTTTAAAAAAGCGCATCTTATTATCCCCCACCCCATGTTCATCTTCGGTACAGGCAGGAATGCCTTTCTTTTTTCATTTCTCATGAAACTTATAAGTTGAATCTGATCAAAAATAAAAGGAAAATTTAATTTTAATATGCTTCATATTAACGGTATCAATTGTCATAATTAGTTTAAGGCGCAATTAAAGCTTATTGAAGAATGGAAAAGTTATAACATATTGTTCAGTTCCAACTATTAACTATTGGTCTATTTTGATAAAGTCCAGTGTTGGGAGTGACACTGCGCTTAGGGTGAGACAAATCTTGGAAGATCCCATGCCCAGCCATACCTCTAACACAAATTTTACCATCTGAAGAATTGAAATCAGGAGTGGTGTTACTGGTGTGTATGATTTTAGACAAACACAAGATGGTAAGCTTAGAGTAAGGAGACATGCTTGCTGCAAAATCTTGCCTTCAGTTTCTCTTCTAAATCAATTCCTCACATTGAATTGTGACGACACTTATGATTGTTATGTTAGTTACACCCTTTAAATTTATTAAATTAAAAATTCAAATTCTGTGTCTTGAGAATTGAATGGTCCAATACAAAAATAATCCCCTTATTTAAACATAACCACCATGTTACCGGTATATGAAAATAAAAAGACTTCAAACATACTGTTTCTTCGGGGCCCAAGATACCGAACTGGATTCTTTTAACCTCCCTCAAAGGAGCGTTCGAGTCTCCAGTGTAACCAGCTGCCACAGTCATTTTTGCTTGCTCAGCGTTGTCAGTTTTAATTCAACTTGACGCTAGAGCCCTCTAGATGTGTCTGTCTCAATGAGACGATTTAATGACGACACTTTTAATGTTTATGTTGTCACTACTGATGTGATATAATTGGGTCCATCATGAAAGAAAGAAAAATGTCACTGCATTAAAGCAATGGCGCAATTCGTTAGTGGAGCGGCCACTGCGCTGCCAAATCTTACTAACACTTCCGGCGAAGACACAGTCTTTTTATAGGACTCAAAATGGGGACTTCATATACTGCAGCAGGGAAAAGTATTTGCCAGGAAGACGTATTGAAACCACACAAAAAGTAAAGTAAATTCCACGTTTGTGTGTGCTTTAATTACCAAATTTTTTTTTTTTTTAAATTAATAAATTAAATTACACACGCGGCCGGTAGCTCTTTTACCTTGAACATATATTCATTTTACATGTTTTTTCTCTCAAAAGCCTATACATTTCAAATAAATTGCTGTTAAAACAAAAATATAGGAAGAGATAGCACCGCATATTTTCCCATGGCGAACTTATGTCCTATATAAACTAAATTTATCCCGAAACCTAACCTGACCCTAAATATATCCCAAAATATAAAAAAACGTATCCCTAACCTGGGTTTTGGCACTATCAGAAGCAGGGACAAAACACGCAAATGACGTCAGGATGCGATCTCTTCACATTGGCCCATTATATTACCATATATGTACACATAGGCATTAATACATACACACATACCGGTATTACATACATAATAGGAGCCAGAATGATCAATACATTGATCGTGGGCCCTAAAATTTAGAAGAAGTGTAACAAAATACGGTACTGCAGAAATCATAATTTTTAAAAATACATATTGTCCCATTAGCATTAGGTCTGACCTGGAGAGATCCTCGGCTTTTCTAAACTCACTGAACTGATGTGGGCTGGTCATTTATGAGTCTGTGTCCAACAAGATGCTCATGCCATCTACCCGTATCACAGCAGATGGTTCAACAATTATAAAGTAAAGATATTTTTGTTCATCTAAGGTGCATAATTTTATTAACCCAGCAATCAAAATTGTTCAGTAGGCCTATATGAAAATATAATTAAATTTGTGTATAAATTATTCAACCATTCTGCTAAATAGCACATCATTGTCAGATTTTGATTTTAAAAAGCTTCGATGTTAAAAAACGAAATATGTAAAACAAGGTATGGGAAATTCTGAAAAAAAAAAGGACGTAGCAAAACAGCGAACATGTCAGCAAGAAGTCTTCTTCAGCAAACAAACAAATATTGAAATTGCATTCCTGTTGCTGTTTTCTCTGAGACTAAATTGCAGCTAATTTTTTTTTTTCATTTTTATATTTGTTACTCATTGTTCATTTGATGAAAAGTAGATTTCTTGCCAAAAGCTTCGTTGTGTTATTATGTCCTTTTCCCATATCTTGTTTCAAATATTTCCTTCTACTTCTACCTGACCTGATAGCAGTCTCTTCCCCTTTATTGTCAATGTTAAAGAAGTCACAACAAATTATTACAATACTAACTAGAACTAGAAACACATACAATACACACCTTTTTAAAAATGTTTACCAATCAACCACATTCAAACCTAGTGTTTCTGCTTGGTCATGCAAAAGTTAGTACATTTTTTATCTAGCCAGGCCAAAACCAGCATCAAATATTGAAAAATAAATTAAGAAATGTCCAATATTATTATGAGGGCCTTGTTTTGAAGAATGGTTTCAAATTTTACATTAATTTATTTTAAAATTTAACTATTAGCAGTAACTTAAAATTTACTTCAACAAGATTGTAATCATTTTCCATACATTTGTTTACTGGGTTTTGTGCTATTATTTCTTATCCCCCCATACAATGTTTTTTTAAAATAAATTGATCATGTTTAAGCAATCAATTTGTGAAGGCTTACATCTTATACAACAGGGTGGTCAAATTTATTCAAAACCATGAAACATTTAAAATAAAATTGTCTGGATTTGTTTTCACTAGCTACTGCTATTCAAATCATGAGTAGATAAAAAGCTTGGTGATATCCCATGATGCATTGCTGCATCAGAACCAAACATTTGGGATACTAATTAAAGGTGATAAGTAAAAAAACTAACCTGAGATTCAAGTCATTTGAAAAATAATATTTTTTTTCAAACCAAAGATCTATATACTAAGCCTTGACACAATGTACTTTGATGGCACCAGTGCAGACTATGCAAAACAGATCCCAGTGACTCCAATTTTATGAGACCATAAGGCATCCTTAATGCAAGACAAGTTGAAGGTCTCATAACATATTAAGCGCCGGCAATCATGTTGCCATTTATTTATTGCTTTATTTCAAAAAATGAAATTCACTCTAAATTGATTTTAAAAATTCAATTTAATTCACCCTATTCATTAGAGGGAGGTCAACCCTAAGAAAAATACCTTAACCACTAAATTTAGAAAGCAAATGCCTCATTGGCCTGCTGTCACAAAATGGTTATAAGTTGAGTCACAAATAGAATAAAAACTAAACAAGAAACAATTCTATTAAAATGTTTATTCATTTTAATGGTTGCACTGCACAGAAAAAAAATACTATGTTCAGTAATTTAATATATTCTGAGTTAGTAAAAATGATTCCTAAGAATCTAAAAATGGTTCCCGTAGACATTTTTAAAAATAATTTTCTTCGTACAATTTGAGTCCTCTTTTTACTCAATGTGCTCAACTAAAATTCTCCAACTGTCCATAATTTCAACAAAGGTTTACTTTTTGACTGATTGATTGTTTTTCGGACAATGCTATGTATTTGTTTATGAATGTCATCTACACTTGCATCACCAGGCACCACCTGCATATGAAGAAGACAAAAAAAAAAAAATCAATACAGATTTTATAATTGAATCATTTACAATAGGATGTAACATAACAAAAATTAAACATTTTTTTTTTAAAATATAAAAGTTAATACGGATACAGACATTTTTTCAACAAGCTTTTATCATTTAAAAAGAAATATACTTTTATAAATTACTGGTAACGGTATATAACGTGTTCAGGCAACAATGAAAGAGCATGAAATTACCTCCCAATATGGTTCTTGAAGCTCAAGAAAATTTTTGTGTACTTTCTTTTGGAATTCAAGTTTTTCATATCGCTCTCCTCCATAATGTGACCTCTGAGAAGCAATTTCTTCACTCACAGATAAGTAGATGACGGTGTCAGGTTGAATGAGACCAACATCAGGATTTTTGCACCAGTCCAAATCCATACCCTAAATTAATTAACAATTTGAAACTTTCAGCTTAAGATATAAATACACACTCATTTACAGTTGTAAATTGAAATCAATTTTTGTTAACTTAACACAAAGAAAAAAAAGTGATGATCGTTCAAAGCCCCCATTTACAGTTTTGAATAAGGTATGCTGCATAATTAAAATTCTTATTGATGCCACAATAAAACTATTATTTTTGGGAGAGGTTACACAATGAAAGAATAGATATTATAATATGGCATTTTCCATCTTCGCGAGACGATGGAGTAGCTATGTAGTCCTACACTTCGACGAGTGGCTCACTAGGAAAATCCTGGAATGACAATCTCGACTGAATTTCTTGCAGGACAATATTGATTCCTGGTTAGATTTTGACTTCCATTTTGTTCTTTTTGTTGCAACAGCCTCGTTTTGCGAATCTTCTGCCTTTTTTACTCCTTGATATACTGCTGTTCGCTAGCTGGAAAGTTGTTCGGCAATGATCTACCATTTGTTGATTTCAATGTTGGCTTCCCTCATGCTCCTTTTTCAAACATCCATAGATCTCAGGCGTGGCCGTCCAATAAGTCTTGTCCCTTCTACCAACTCTCCATACAGCAGCAACTTTGGGATACGGCCTTCCTCCATTCTCCTTACATGGCATAATCCACCAAAGACGCCTCTTTCTAAGAGAATATGCTAAACATTTGTGCACGTTCCAAGACCTCCGTGTTGGGCACCTTGTCCTGTCATTGAATGCGTAAAATGCAACACAGACATCTTTGATGGAAGCTGTTGATTTCTGCTCATGACTGCCATATGTGGTCCTCACTTCACTGCCATATAGAAGCGTACTAAGCACTCATGCCTGATAGACACTTATTTTGTTTTATCAGTTCGATTGAGATTTTTTCACACCCGCTTATTCAGTTTAGCCATGATAGTTGCTGCTGCTTTTGCAATCCTGATATTGATCTATTCATCAACGGAGAGCGAACTAGAAATATTGGATCCCAGGTATATGAAATGATCAACAACCGAGAGATTATGACCCTCAATAGATATGATTGGAGGGGACGGTGCTTCTTGCATCATTACGAGTTTTCTGTAGACTACTCGAAAGACCAAACTCTTTACAAGCGTGTGATAGACGATTAACCAGCCCCTGAAGACCTTCTTCTGTGTGAGATGTTAAGCAGCATTGTCAGCAAACAGCAGTTCACAAATCAGCGGGCGATATTGAACAGCCTACCATCAGATCTGGTATGGATGTACACTCCATCTTCACAGTCCCTGAAGGCAAATTGAAGGAGCATCGAGAAGAAAATGAGAAGAGCGTTGGTGAGAGTAAACAACCCTGTTTTTCTCCGCTGTTGACTGGAAATGCTCCAGAGACAGCACCATTGAAGGTACTGAAAGTTGAATGCCTTTGTCATATCTATGAAAGCAATATAGAGAGGCATATGCTCTAATCACGACATTTCTCCTGCATTTGGCATAACGAGAAAATATCATTCATATAGTTGAGCGCCCGCTTCGGAAACCACACTGGGACTCTGGGTAGATGCGGTTAGCCAGACTCTGCAATCGTTTAAGGGCAACACGGGCAAAAGTCTTTCCAACTAAGCCAAGGAGAGAAATTCCTCAGTAGCTATTGCAATCACTTCGGTCCCCTTTATTTTTGTACAATGTTACGATATTGATGTCTCTTATGTCCTGTTGAATGTGACCTGTTTCCCAACACAGACAGAGGAGCTCATCTAAGGGCTGAAGTAGAACAGATTTTCCATTTTTTGAGGACTTCCGGTGGAATGCCGTCAATACCTGGAGCCCTCCTTTCAGCAAGGTAATCAATGGCTTTTTCAAGCTCCTGTAAAGTTGGCTCTTCATCTAGTTCTTCCATTATTGACAAGACGGGAATATTATTGAGAGCGGTCTCAGTAACTACATTCATTGTTGAGTATAGTTCAAGATAATGTTCTACCCAACGTCTGATTAGATATTATACAACACCAATAGGCTCATACTGCATGTTAGGCTTGCACTGATAATCAAATGGGCTGACTACCTTACATATCATTAATTGAAATTGTCCTCCCTAAATCTGCCAATGTCCTTATTTAATAGGATCAGTGGTTCCCAGACTTGTTTGATTACCTGCAATCTTGGTGAATCCAAGTTTTGCAAGTCCCCTATATCAAATTCTAACAAACACACTGCAAAATGGTGAAAACGTAACATTAATGAAAGGTTTATATATCAGATAACGAAGCATCATCTTTAAACCATTTGCAAAGGCTTCTACTAAATGTTATTACTAAGTGAGTTATTTGTTTGCACCAGGTCTGCTGCAATCCTGAACTGAACATCCATCCACCCTTGTGACACTACAGCCCATGTAGGGCTTTTGCCTGCCTAACTACTTCCTTCCACTCAGACCTAACTAATGCTTTTCTTTTCCATGCTTGAATTCCCAGTTGTTGTAGATATTTTTCCACATCATACTGAACTGAACATAAATTATAAAAATATTTTGAGAGGGAACCCCGGTTCCCAGCGCATACTTTGGGATCCACTGCAAAGAATTTTAGGTGATGCTAAGTTATTGCTAAGTGTTAAAATCAATGTGTTTATTATTGTCACTTACCCATCTTATTATCTAGGCATAAGTAAGAACTGCATGTGCCAGAAACATAGCATATAGAAGGGTGGGATAATATTATAGATCTACTATTTGGATTAAAGGGAGTAAGACTAAATAACCAACAAAAAAAAAAAGCTAAGTTATGTTAAACTGACCTTTGAAAAGGTGTCATCTTAAATTTAAATAAAATGTTTATAGGGAAATTTAATTCTGTCTGGCTAAATCTATTAAACTGGCTAAATGGCAGACTTCAGATTATCTGCAGAAGTGTGCATGCCTTTAATTTTATTGCAAGTTTGTCTTAAAATACAGAGTAAATGTGTGCAGTCTAAAGAATCCTGAAGAATATCATTTCATTTATTCCATTGATAAAGAATCACTTACTTTGGCAGATGAATATGCTATTCCTGAATATGCATATCGATCAACAATTAAGGTTGTACCGGCTTTTAATTTTTTTTTCATCAATTCCCTGGAACATACAGAAATACATGTTGAGATTACATAAATATTATTAAACCAAAATACAAATGAAATAAGTAAATTAGCACAAACACATATGACTAAGTCGTAAAAATGTATAAAATATTTCTTTACTAATTAAGATTTTAAAACATTGCAGGACAAAGAGTAATGAAACCAAGATACGAATATAAATGGATGATAATCATCCACCAAGTTACTGACTTAAAAAAACAATCAAAGACAATATAAAAAAAAAATTTTTTCCAAATATTATTTTAGCATCTAGCTTATTTTATATTACTTGTTAAAAAAAAAATTAAATTCACAGCCAGAAATAATGAAGCAAATTTTATAAACCACGAAGCTGACAATCAAAATAATTATCAATAAAAGAAAACTCACATGGCCTCCCATCTGTTAGATGAAAACAGCAGGTGGGCAACTCTATCATCTAACTCCTCAGTCATTTGCAAGTAACTGTTAATGAGTTTACCAATAGGTGTCGTCCTATCTGCCAAAACATTATGTCAAAATAAAAAAAGGAGGGAAAAAAATATGTTATAAACAACTATATTCACCGAAACACCTTGCTACCCACATCCTTAGAGTGTGAAAGGTTTATTAAGCTTTAAAATGTATATAAATCCTACTTCTTGGTTGCTTGTTGTTTGTGGGGGGTGTCTTGGAACGTAAGACAGATATTTGAGGTATTACTGTAATGTAGTTCATTTGTACTTAATGAAAAATAAATTTGTGTTTGTACCGGTACTGGTATATTGTCAATTCTGCCAAATGTTTGCAAATAACTTTTTAAAAAAAACCTATGAGCCGCCTAAAAATATAAACTATCCACTGTATGCTGTTAACCTGTAAGACCATACCATACCTGGAAATTTGACAAGCTCAACATCTTCACCCTCGTCAACAAGTTTTTCTTTCAGTTTTGCACATTGAGTTGTTTTGCCACAACGATCACACCCTTCAAAGACAATCAGAGCGCCTCTGGACATTGTTTCCTTTCCCATTATTGAGAACTTGGCACCTTTCTGTATGGACCTGGAGTAACTGAAAAGGAGATTAGCGATAACCATGTCCTTACAAGTCAGTGTGATAAAATGGGTGTAGATGAGGTGTAATTATTTTGCAATTTAATTTGATATGGGTGAAGGTTGTAGCTTTATAAAGTTAACTTATGATGAACATGTTTTAACCCTGGTGTTCCTGGGCAATAGGGCCTGTCATTTCAAACAACTCTCAAGGATAAATATTTTAATTGAAATCTCTCAATCTTTCATTAAATTTTTCTATCTCCAGTACTATATGAAATAAAAACAACTTGCACAAAAATGTTTGGGTAAATCGGAAAGCTAAAAGCATGGCCAACTTTCATTATTCCATAAATTTTTTAAATGATAGTTTGAAAAAAGATTTAACAGCACTTGAAAGCAATTATATTTATGTCCACTAATAAGTCCCTGATATGGCTAAGAGAACTCACTGAATGGCTGTTTTGTGTGTGTGTTTTTTTTTACTAGTTAAATAGTTTATTAATTATTATTATAAATGTCTTGTGTTCAAATTGTTTTATTTTTGAGCTGAAAATGTACAATGCAATCATAAAACATTTCCATTTGTTTGGATCAATAAAAGAATCTTATCCTTTCTAAAATGAAGTGCTTGTAAGACTTTTATTAAATATTTATCAAAATTTTTAGTAAAAATCATTAAAATCAATTAAAATGCAACTTGAAAATGTACCATAATTAAATATTTATATTTTGGAATAGGCCTATATTTTATTTTTAAGGCACCGCTGCCTCTCCAGATTGTAAGTCCAGAAGCAGTCCTTGTGAAAGTATATATTTTTTAACGGGTTATTAAAATAGGTTTATGCCAGGGGTTCTTAATCAGGGGATCTGCACCCCTGGCGGTGCTGAAAGATTAGGTTTATTCTTATTTTTTGTTTTGGGGCTGCAGGAAATTTGTTTTTAAATCAAGAAGGGTTGCAGTGATGCAAAATGATTAAGAACCCTAGGCCTATGCATTGCTTGAACAGGTACCAATCCATAGTAGGCATAATCAAATAAAATTATACCAATGCCTTAGCCAGATGCAGGGGATAAAGAATCCTTAAGATATGAAGTGGGCCAGTCAAAATTTAGGGGCAATTATTTAGGCCTATAGTTAACCTTATTTGATGTGTCAGTAAACAAACTGATTTAATTATTAAATCCAGAATCCAAGGATATGAATCTGACTTTTTTTTGGCAGAGCTCCACTTGCAAAACATTTTTAAAAAATTGACATTTTTGTCAGCTCCAAGTATGGGGATGCTAAGTTATTGCTAAGTGTTAAAATCAATGGTGTTTATTATTGTCACTTATCCATCTTATTAACTAGGCATAAGGCATAAATAAGAAATGCATGTCATGTGCCAGTAACATAGCAAATAGGGGTGGGATAACATTGCTGAAGAGTGGGGCAAAATAGCTGGTGGCAAGTGTCAGGAAATATAGCCTATAACTATAACCAGTATAGCTGGTAGAAGTGGGCAATATATTTGAGGAAAGATTCTGCTCCAGAATTCAGGGCCAAATCCCTGCCTATATACTATATATAATATAACTTTAATATAAGTGATTTGAGTGAGTGATAGATCTACATACAACTACAACACTTGACAAATAATAAGGTGATTTATTATTTTTTTTTAAATTGTAACTGAAATTCAATCTAAAATCTAGATACTAACAATAACTTTATTACTTTAACTTATTACTACAAATTGATAGCAAACTAAAAGACGAAGACTAATAATAATATGAATAAATTGAATTAAACTAACTAATGTCATGAGTCATGTCATGTTAAACCAGGATTTACCAGGAAACGTTGACAACTTGAATTGGGTAAACAATCGAAACAAATTGGTATGGTATATGGTCTTACTAATTATCTATGTACGTGCTCACTAAATAGTCTAATTTTATTTGTAAATGGCGCAGTATGGCTTATATTCATGGACATGCAAAGTGTAAACATAATATTTGTTCTGTGAATTCCCGCCATAAATTGTAAGAAATGAGAATCAATTGCAAAAACCGAAAGAACGGAAAATCCCGGAAACTCCTGTACTGTAACGGAACTGTTTTTTTTTTATTATCATTATCCTGCATTCATGTCTTTGAAAATTAAAAAAAAAAATCTAAGACATTTTAAAAGAGAAATACTGATTTCAAAATTGTAAATATACTAACAAATATAAATAACGAGACCAACTTTTCAGCATTTTTACAAATAGTTTTATCAGAACTTTTGCCTTATCCCGCTATTTTTAGACCAGATGACCGAGTAAGACAAAGGTTGAATACCACTCCGTTTTATGAAAATGAATGGCTGCGACTATTCGCACCCGGGTATCAAAGGTGAGAGGTTGGGATTAAAAAACTATTTAAAATATTATTGTTGGGTTTGCAAGACAAAATGAGGTATCAAATGAAAAAATAATTGAATGGACTATATGTTTGTAAACTTTCTTCTTCAGTTTAACTAAAATAAACTACCACAAATGACATCCGAATGTGATTTAGTCTAAAGGGGCCCGGGTCCGGATAGCGTCGTTCCTCTAACCAGTCGATGCTCTTCTGGGTAAATGGGTCCCATACTGAAGATGCATAATCTAAAACCGGACGGACAAAGGCTTTATAGGCTCTTTCTTTCACACAGGAGTTGCCAATCTTTAGATTACGCCTTAAGAACCCCAGTGATAGTGATAGTGACTTAAGGCAAGTTTTATTAAAATTTTACCTAAAGACTCAGTGTAAAGAAAGTACTGACCATAAGTCTACAGAAAACAAATGTCGCGAGAAACACAGACACCAAAAATACATTTAAAAAAAAAAAGAAACACAAAAAACACACAAACAACTATTGAGTTTGAGGGCCTTAGTAAGTAGGTTTATAAAGTTGAGAATTTCTCGATTAGGTCCAATATCTCTAGCTAGCTTCCCGTTGACGAATAGATGAATACCACGATCGCAAAAGCAGCAGCAACGATGGCTAAACTAAATAAGCGGGTGTGGAACAATCCTAAACTCCTTGATATCACACAACTAAGCGTCTTTCAGGCATGTGGGGTCAGTACGCTTATATTATGGCAGTGACGCGTGGACCACAAATGCTATTCATGAGCGGAAATTCAACAGTTTCCATCTAAGATATTTGCGCTGCAGTTTGCGAATTCGATGGTAGGAAAAAGTGCCTAACACAGAGATTTTGGAACGTGCCAAAATGTGCAGCATGTTTTCCACTCTTAGCAAGAGGCGCCTTCGTTGGTTAGGTCATGTAAAGAGAATGGAGGAAGGTCGTATTTCAAAGACTCTGCTGTATGGAGAGTTGGCAGAGGGGTAAGATTTATTGGATGGTCGCAAATGTGATTTAGGGACGTTTGCAAAAGGGACACGAGGGAAGCCAACATAGAAATCGGAGAATGGAAGATGATCGCTGATCATCATTCTAGTTGCCCCACAGCTGTGTATGAAGGCAGATGATGCACGAAACAAACCCTCGAAACAAAAAACAAACAAAAAAAGCATTACGGAAGGCTAAAGTTAATCAGAAGTGAAGTTTCTCCTGCGAGAAGAGCAGCCGAGACTACCATCCCAGCATCGTCAGCCATTTGATGAATTGACAATAAGATACTCTATCGCCTCACGAAGACGGAAGAATTATATATATATATATATATATATATGTATATATATATATATATATAAATATATTGTGAATAATTTAAAAACAAACAAACAAAAACAACAACAACAAAACACCACCTAAGGAAAGTTCGGTAAATGTAGGTCATCAATTATGAGCCAAGGCCAAGAGGTTGTAACTTTAACATCATGTGACCATTCATTGTGTTTTGTTTTTTTTACCAGAACCAAAATAATTATTCATTTTTAGGATACCAATGGCGCCGCAACGATTTTAATTAAATTTGAAATAAATACCGGGGTAGTCACCTGTATTGAAATAACCACTACCAGAAGCGCTTACACCACTGAAGTGGAAAATGCCAAATCTTCCTTATTTAAACTATCTTTTTGATGTTGCTTTTATTAGTTACCCACTTATATTTAACTTTTACGACGTTCAGTTAAACTTCTTTTTGCGCATATTTATTTAGATTCCCACACAGCTTTGTCTAGCACAGTTATTCTTAACTAGGGTTGCCCGCATCCCCTGGGCATGTTTTGTTTTCATTTTTATTGTTACTATTTTAACGATTACTAGTTCAACAGTTTTAATATACTTATCGACTCTAAAAGTCTCTCTGTTGCTTTTCAGAATTTCTCTAATGTGAATTTTATCCGTCTAAATCACAAAGTGCTAATAATGCTATTTCTTCACTTCGATGACTAGGCAAAACTAGGCTTTAAGCAAGTATTCATTTTAGTACTAGAGTTCCGAAAACCTTATTAGAGTTTCTAACTGCAGGCTACATTACATTACTAAACTTAACCCCCTTTAAATTTAAAATAGTTTGTCTTTTCTGCCTACTGTAATAGTAATAGATGAAAACGATCCCAGCTCGTCTGTGGTATGTTTTCTGTGTAACAACTAATCTTTATTCCTGATTATACATTCTTTTTATACCTCGCATCACATGATCACTCCCTCCATTTCTCCAAGGGGCCATCCATAATAGACGTCCACCAATTTTTTTTGCTATTTTACCCGCCCCCCTCCCCCTTTGTCCACTTTTGACTTGACCCC